GGTTAACCGGGCCTGGAAGAAAGATGTGTCACGGAGACCAGGGACAGAAAGCCGCCCCCCCCCCGCATCCACCCCAGGGCTGAGAGGGCTGAGAGCCTCTGGAACCCACCAGGCCGGGCAGGATGGGAGCCAGCCACATGTGTCTGCCGTCACTGGTGTCGTTCACTTGGTCGATGAGCTTGTCGGGGGTCCGGACATCCCCACATACGCCCTCCAGAGAGTTGACGCTGTCGGGGAAGGCGGCGATATCTGTAGACGCCTCTAAGCTCTCATAACCCAAAGAAGAGTGCTCGGCACCGTGCACCGTGGGCCACTCTTGCGGCCTCCAGCCTCCATCACGCTGACGGCACGGCTCAGGGGATGCCAGGGCGGGCGCGCCTGGCGGGCAGAGCCGCCATCTGCTGCTCCGGGCAGCCAGAGGAGTGACAGCCAAATTAGACATGTTCTGGGGAAAATGAAAGCAAGGAGGCTGAGGGGAGTCGGGGTGAGAGTGGAGGCGTGGCCAGTATCAAGGAAAGGGGAGGAAAGCAGGCAGAGTGCAGGCTGAAAAAGACGGGTTTCATGGAAGTGCTGGAGGCAGGAATAAAAACTGTTGCTGTCTCTTTGGAGAGTGGAGGGCAGACTCTGAGGTTTTCCTTTGCGAGGGGATGGACGGGGTCATGGCTGGATTCTGCCTTGGCATGTGACCACCCAGAGACTGGAAGGATGTGGGGGGCGGAGCCTGACTCAGCTACTGCTACTCAACGGATGGGCATTAATGTGGATGGAGAGGACATGGTCCCAGCTCTGACTCTGCCATCCTGACCTGTGAGATATTGGGCAAGTCATGGGCTATCTCTGGGCTTGTTTCCTCATCTGTAAAATGGGAATAAACATCTCTATGTCCCAGAACTGATGAAGACTTATACATCTAAGGAATCACTAATAACGATCAAAACCACGAAGAATCACTTATCCCAGGTGAGGAGCATGGTGCCACCAGGGCAAAGCAGAAAAGGACGCAATCAGAACCCAGGGACCCCAAAGAGATGCAAGGGAGGCTTTCGGGTTTGACCTGCTCTGGTAGTTCCCTAACTGGTGCATCAGGGATCACAGATCAAGAGCCCAGAGGGGTCAGGCAGGTTGTATCAAAGGGAAGCAGGACAGCACAGTGGTCAAGAGCATGGTCTTTGGAGCCAGACTCCCAGCTCACTGGCTGTGTGACCTTGGGTAAGTTACTCAACCTCTCTGTGCCTCACTTCACAAGATTGTTGTGAGGGCAAGTGAGGTACATGGGACAAGCCCTGGCACCGACTGAGCCCTTGGTGAATATTAACACTATGTTTCTGGGGCCTGGGAGGTAACTGGAGGTAGAGGACTGGGATCAACCAGGTGAATGCGCTTGGGGAGAAAGGGCAGCAGACACTCAGGTCCAGCCATCGTCACTATGCAGGACTGTGGCCTCGCACTGCCAACTTCTCAAGAGAAGCTGAAGACTGGGTTGTCATCTGAAACCTCCTGATTTTTAAAAAGTATTAGCGACTAACTCAAACATTTAAAAACTCACTGGGCTAAGAGTTTGCTAATTCTGGTGTCGGTATTCTGTGAGCAAAGGGCTCCACGGTCAATAAATTCAGGACACACTGGGTTGAACACAGTAGAGCAGGTTTCTCCCTACAGGTCCTGTCAGAGCCTTTACAACCCCAAAGTGTCTGTGGTTCTCCGAGAGGGGGCTGCAGTTGGTAGCCTCTCCCAAATTCCCGAACCACAGGACTCTTTGTTTTATGGATGTCTTGGCAGGTGTGCCTGGAAGCTTCTCTCTGCTTTGCAAGGGTCACATCTGACTGTAAGTAGAGCCCAGTGGCATTTTTAATTTCCAGGTCTGGTTCCTACAGGGACATTTCTCTCTACATTCGAGGATTCTGCTTCTTCCCCCGACCCTCCCATGCTCCCTGCAGTCTGGGTGGAGCCCCCCTTCTGCCTAGAAAGGATACTGTTTTCCGACAGAGGGATTTTTTCTCCCTGTTCGTCATACAGCTCCAGGCCGGTAAGACCGATGTAATAGGGGTCACCCCAGCTGGTCAGGAGCTGAAACTGGAAAATGACTGCAACATGTTATTAAGGAAAAACAGGCTTAATTTTCTGGAGAACAGAGGAAAACAATTACAAAGATAAAAGGGACATGTATGTATATATATATATATATATATATATATATATATATATAAAATGTTTATAGAGATGAACGAGAGAAAAAAATGATTTCTTTTTCCTTTGAGACTGAAGTCAATCACAATGTATGTGGCACGAAATTTTCTTTAATTTAAACTGCATATGAATGTGTGTATGTGTGTTTTAAGAATTCAAAAGCTTTCTCCAGGCCCCAGGAGGTAGAAGGACAGGCAGGGAGGGTGTGCTCCAGGGAGCTGGCAGGGGGGACGCATCTGTCACAAACTCAGTATTTAGAGCTGAACAGTGACCAGGCCTCAAACTACCTCCTGCCTCAGTTTCCATGGTTGTAAAATGACACGAACAGAGTGCCTGTTCCCTGCTCCACCCGTTTCAAGTGTGCAGGGCGTGAACAGGGAGGGGTGATGCGGGAGCATCACAGCATTGGGGGGATGGGCCCTGGCAGGGTGACCGCCCCCCCACTCCCGCATTGCTGACTGCGCCTCACACAGACAACCAGGCATCTAGCCCTTCCTCAGCTCTGTCCCCCACTGGCTCCCAGCATCCCCAGGAGCAGGCAGGCCGGGAAGCCTGAGAAGTGGTAGGGTGGTCCCCAGGCGATAAAGCTGGAGGGAGAACAGGCTAGTGAGAGAGTCAGGCTGTCCGTGTTCACTAACCCGGTCCTACCCCTTCCCGGCTAGGTGGCCTGGCAAGTTAGTTAACCTCTCTGCGCCTCAGTTTTCTCAGCTGTGAAATGGGGATGCAGTACCCACCTCACGGGGCTAACACATGAGGTTCATACAGGCGACCTACTGCAAACAGTGCCGGGCGGCAGAAAGGGTCCAGCACATTTGAGCTATGATTCCTTCTCTCTTCACTTCCTCCCTGCCTGGTTCCAAGGAGAGACCCCAGCCCAGTCCCCGGGTCAGTTCCAGCTTCTCCGGCCCCTCCCAGCTACAGTCCTTGGTGCTGCCTCTTGAACCTCAGCCCACCAGGGGGGCGGGGCCTGGAACTCCTCGGTCCCAGCAGCACCCAGTGTCCCCAGGGACCCGGGAGCTCTCCCATCCTCCCCTTAGTTTCCCTGCATGGGCTCCAGCTGCCTTGGCTGTGGCCTGGCTGAAACCCAGGGCAGCAGCTGAGGCCCAGACCCCACGTCAGGGCCCTCGAGGAGGCCACAAGGGCCTCGCCCTCTCCCTGGGTTCTGGGCATAGACCCAGGGCCCGGGATGTGAGGCCGGTGGAGGAGGATACAGCCACAGGGCATCAGAGGCGCCTCATAGTCCATGCTCGCCCGCTCCAGGCTCTTTGTGTCCAGTCTGAAAAAACACAAAACAGCACCGGGAAGCAGAGGATTGCAGTGGCCCGAGTCGCTGGTCAGCTATCCCCCGGGGAGGCAGTGGGGGAAGGACAGACAAGCTTCTGGAGTTCCCATCTACTGGGGGAGGCTCGTCACCTTGGGTTTGACTCGCATTCCACAGAACGACCCTGGGAGGTGGGTACTCTCACATCCCTGTTGTGGGTGAGGAAACTGGAGCACAGGGAAGAGAAGTCACTTGCTCAAGGTCACACAGCTGGGAGGTGGCAGAAGTGGGATGTGACCTGAGGTTGTCTGGTTCCAGGGTCCACACTCTTAATCACCCCACCCAACTTTAGCCCCTTCATGAACAAGGTAAGTCCACACTGTTCTGAGAGCTGAGTGAGACCCACGATGGGCCAATGGGGTAGAGTGCTGGGAGGGGGCAGGCTACCCCAGGCAGTAATCAGGGAAGTGATGTCTGAGCTAAGGAGGAGGCAGCCATGGGAAGAGTCAGAGCCGAGCCTTCCAAGCCGAAGAGCACCCAGAACTAAGGCCCTGAGGTGGGACGGGGCTGGACAGTTGATGTTTGTCCCAGAAAGCAGCCAGACGGGCTGAAGTGTGGGGTGGGATGGGAGGCAGGCAGGGAGAGGAGGCAGGGAGGTGGGGAGAGCCCTGAAGTCTTTGCTTCATGACCTTGAGCAAGAGGCTTCACTCGCCTGGGCCTCAGTTCCCACATCTGTGAAATGGGCCTAACAATCCCTGCTTCAAAGGGTGGTTGGAAGGATTCCCTGAAGGATGACTACAAAGCATCTGGCTCACAGCAGGTACACGGGAGGGAGCCTCTCTCCTCCTCCAGACTCTCTCCCTGGTCCACGGCCAGTGCCCTCCAGCCCTGGCCTGGTTTTCTTCAGTTTCAAGGGCAGTGTTATAATTAAGTGACTATTCCCAGTATCTGGCCCAAGGAGTGATCCCAGCTACAGTGGAGGGAAACTCATTTTGTTTTGAGAGCTTGGCCTCTGGTACTTGGACATCAGGGGGGTTAAATGAATAAACTTAACGTGGCATTTACAGATTGTTATGAACTTAATGCAGCTGAGACGGCCCAAGCAATCCCAGTGAATCCATGAAATGTTAGGCTCTATTTTTCTCTTTGAATCTTTCTAAATCAGGAATACAGAAACAAGAGGAGGAAGGCCCTTCCCCGAATTGGCCAGCAGGCATTTCTGGAATCTAGGCAGGCTTGAGCCTCTCTTCCCAGCAGGAAGCACAACGAAGCATTTAAAATCTCAAGCACTCCAGACTGTGAGAGACCCAAACATCCCCAGACAAGGTGGGTACATCCCCCAGGCTTCCGGAGAGGCTTGGCTAAGCTTTAGAAAACAGCCAAGTTGAAAAGCAATGTGTTTGATCATCATTTCAAAACCCTTTAGGTACACATTTCAGAGCACGATGCAAAGCCAGCGCCCTTGGGCCGGGAGGGACCATTCATGTTGCCGCTCCCCTCACCTCTGGGCTGGTGGGGGCAGCGGGCAGGGTTGCAGGTAGTCCACAAAGAGGATTTCTTGAGCAAAATCGAAGTGGCAGTTGCCCGGCCCCTTCCGGATGAGGAAGCCCTCAGGAGGGGAGACGCACAGGCCATCCAGGGAGACGTGGACGATTTTAGCCTAGCAAACAACAGAAATAACAAGTCTGAAGAACAGGAGCCAGTGTGAGGAGGGTGGTGAGCGCTGACGTGGCTGGTGCTGCTGGCAGCTGGCATGTATGACTGGGGGCCTTCACAGAGCCCCCAGGCCCTTCTCCCAGGCCAGAACCACTTGGCCGGGGTCCCCTTTCCAGTGCCATCCCTACTCTGTGCTGGGCGCTGGACGTATAGCAGGGGAGCAGGCAGGTGAGGCCCCAGCCACAGTGGACACGTACAGACCTTCCCCGGTCTACTCAGCTGCAGTGGCCTGAGGAGGTATGACATGGTGGTCAAGGGCGTGGACTCAGCTGCTCTGAGATCCACCATGAGTAGTTGTGCAAGTTACTTGACCTCCCTGCCTCAATTTCCTCATCTGTTAAATGGGCTCAACGAGGAGCTGACTTATATAAAGTCTCCAGAACAGAACAGTGCCTTGCACAAAATACGCACTGCACCAGTGTTAGCCTGGACTGATCCTTCTCCAAACCCTGGCTCATACCTCACCTCCTCTCCTAGCACCTGCCCCTGCGACAGAAATGGGCCCCTTCCTGATATTCCTTCTCACAGCCCTTGGCTTGTCCTTTTAAGGGCATGTATTCCCTAGCTGTGTCGTCCATGGTTTCGGGGTCTCCCCTGATGGCACAGACCCCAGCTGGATTATCTCTACATCCGCCTCTGGGCATGGCACACAGTAGGAGCTTGCTGAATTGACTGGATCTGGGCCACCATGGTCCCCTGTTATAGGCCAGATTTTGCCAGCCGGATGGCCAGGATCTGCCAGTAAGTGTCAAAGCCTAATGGCAGGATCTGAGGTGGCTCAGCTCTGTCCCCCTGGGGAAGGACGGTGGTAGGGGAGCAGAGAGGGGGGCTAAGCCAGTACCCTCTCTGACTCCACATTTTGGATTCAGGGCTCCTTGGCACCTCACTCCACCTTCACGGTTAGCAGCCCAGCCAGCTGCTGACCAAACTGGTGGTGCTTCAGCCCGGAAGACACAGAGGGCTTCTCCGTGAGGAAAGAAAGGGGCCCTGTCCTGGGTCTCATGGATAACAATGTACCCTGGGGCTCTTCACCCTCCAGCATTTAGGCAGCCCCCGTAACTCAGTCAGTCAGTCAGTCACAGGGTGCATAAACCTAAAAGGTGTACAGGGGCTGGAAATGGCGACCCCAAAGCTGTCACTACACCTCCACTCTGCTTTCCTCAAGCCTAATTCCTGCCTGGGCCCCAGGGCTGGGCCTGTGACTCAGGCCTGGCCAAACAGAGAACTGTCACCCACTGGCCATGTGGATGCAAGAGCGACGTGACTCCTGGGGTTTTGCTGGCTTTACTCTGCTAGACTGGAGCATGCAGGACGCAAGCCCGGAGCTGCCAGGGTTGGCCTGGAGGAGAAAGCCACCTGAAGTGAAGCTGGCAACAGAGCAGAGCAGAGGTCCAGGAAGTCCCTGTCCCTCTTCTAGGGCCACCACCACCTCCTGGGAGCATCTCTGACTTCCCCAGACCCTGGCTCATTGCCTCAGAAGGGGCTTTTATTATCACCTCCCTCTTATGGCTAGGGAAACTAGAGTTCCGAGAGGCTAAGCAATTTGCCCAAGGACACACTGGAGGGGTGTGAAGCTCACCTCCTGGAGTGCCAGGCCTGGCTCTAACCTCATGCCAGGGGCTCAGAGCCAGCGTGCCCAGTGGTGCCTTGTGGGATAGGCATCTGATGCACTTCCCTGGGGAGGGAGGGGCCAGAGTTCCCATTACTCTGCGCCCTGGGGTCGCCCTCTCAGATGGCGCTCATCCCCGCTCCCATGGTGGCCATTCATCACTGGCACCAAGTCTGGTGGGGGCCAGACCTGGGAAGCAGGGCCTCTGGGCCCAACGTTTCCAGGCGGTAAATCCAGGTCGTGGAAGCTCAACTGGAAAGAGGGATTCACTCAAGGGAAGGGAAAGGCCCAGAGGCACGAGTTGAGGCAAAAGAATGTTTCTTGAACGCCAATATAGCTGACATTTTATTCGCGCTCGACCCAAGAGCACGCTTACAAAGACACCAGGGCGGCCTGGGCAGGGTTTGTAAACTGCACACTCAGGGGAGCCAATGCTCCTGAAGGCAAGCGCTGGGGGGCTGGGGGCTGCTCACTCCGCTGTGATAAACCACCACAGTCTTAAGTCCCTGGACGTATTGAGGACCCAGACCTGGGCTCACAGCATCCTCACAGGCCGGGTCCTGGCTTTGTCAACTTCCGTGGGCCATAGGCAGGTATCCTCCTCCTCCTTTTACAGATGAGGAAACTGAGGTCCAGGGAAGGCGGGCCACGTGCCAAAGGTCACACAGCTGGTAAGGGTCAGAGAGGGGGATTCAGACGCAGAGCCTTGTGCATTTAGGGCCCTAACTGCATTGCTATCATTTAGGTGACCTTGTCATCATCACTTCCATGTAGCGGGAGGGGACAAATGTCTCATGGTTCATGGTCAGAAAAGCCCATGAAAGGGAGCGCTTCTTTTTTTTTGCGGTACGCGGGCCTCTCACTGTTGCGGCCTCTCCCGTTGCGGAGCACAGGCTCCGGATGTACAGGCCCAGCGCCATGGCTCACGGGCCCAGCCGCTCCGCGGCATGTGGGATCTTCCCGGACCGGGGCACGAACCCGCGTCCCCTGCATCGGCAGGTGGACTCTCAACCACTGCGCCACCAGGGAAGCCCCAAGGGGGCACTTCTGATGCTCTTTTCCACATGTCAACAGAGGCCCCTGCTTTTTCACACCCAGAAGGAGAAGAAAAGAGTGTAGGCTCCAAGCTCAGCAGACGTTGACTGGACCTCTAGCTGTGTGACCTGAGACGAGTGACTGGACCTCTCTGAACCTCAGTTTTCAATACCCTGAAAGATGGGGGTAATAACACCTGCCTCCCAGAGGCTGGGACGCGGGTCCAATGAAATGACAAAGGCGTGAGAAGCCCTCAGCCCGGGCCTGGCCGCCAAAGCACTCAGTGAACAGCAGGGCTGCAGCCGACCACTGTGAGTTGCGGGCTGGGCCTGCTGAGGACCCTGAACCCCCAGAAGAGACAAGGTGCTGCAGTTCTCCGAGTCAGCCCCGGGCCCTTTAGCCTGCGTTTGCTGTTTGCAGAAGGAAACAGCAGCAGCTCTCTCTCCCTGGCTGTAACCTCCCCCAGCTTCATTTGGAAAGTTCTGGAGGATTTATGCTCCTCTCTGCAGCCACGCCAGCCATTCATCAAGGTGCTGTTTCCCTGACAGTGGACTGAGCGCGGCTGCCGTTGCCCGGCTTACCCCTCGATCGGTGTCCTCGGGAGATTTATTGTAGTTCCAGAAGCGCAGGCCTGCGATGCTTTCGGCTCTGTCGAAGTGGATCGTGACCACGTGGTCCAGCCCCGGCAAGAAGGGAATCAGCCACATATGCTCATCCTCCATCGTGATGTTGGCTCCATCGATTAACCTGCACTCAGCGGGGAAGGAACGGAGAGATGGGGGCAGCCCGGTCTGCTGGGAGAACTCACAGTGTAGGGCCTACACCCACTCCCCTCCCCATGGCAGCCCCTGCCTGGCAGGAGCCTGGCTGGATCCGGCTCATTACCGGCAGGTGAGACTAATTAAAGCAACAGTGAGGAGCCATCTCTCATCTGTGAAGTTAGACAAAATAGGAAAACAAGGGGAAAAATAACAGTCTGTGCTGTTAAAGGTACAGTGAAGCAATCATCAAGGGTTTTAAAACGGGGATGCGGGTGTGTGCTATTTTTTAGGACCCTTTAACCCAGCGATCCCATTTCTAGAATTTATTCCCCCTAAGAAAAATTTATTCAACATGTCAAAAAGCTACCTGCACCAAGATACTACTTACATTAGCAACAAACAAGCAAACCCTAAAAGGTCTCAAAATAGGGAAAAGTTCAGTAAATCTGTACGGTAGTTAAAATGATAATCACAAGGATGATGCAGTAATGGGGAAAGGCGGGGGCACTGATTTTAATGCTGTAAAATGAGGACAAGGACCAGGGGAGATTACGCAAAAGTGAAAGATATATTTCTGTCAGAGGGGATGGGGGGTGACTATTTCTATTTCCCCAAATTTCTGTAAAGTGATGTATTGACTCCATGGTACATTTTGAAAGAATTCTATTCCTTCTTTCTTTCTTGCTTGCTTTCTTTTTTTTTTGGCGGTATGTGGGCCTCTCACTGTTGTGGCCTCTCCCGTTGTGGAGCACAGGCTCCGGATGCGATGCGTTCTATTTCCCCAAATTTCTGTAAAGTGATGTATTGACTCCATGGTACATTTTGAAAGAATTCTATTCCTTCTTTCTTTCTTGCTTGCTTTCTTTTTTTTTTGGCGGTATGTGGGCCTCTCACTGTTGTGGCCTCTCCCGTTGTGGAGCACAGGCTCCGGATGCGCAGGCTCAGCGGCTATGGCTCACGGGCCCAGCCGCTCCGCGGCACGTGGGATCTTCTCAGACCGGGGCACAAACCTGCGTCCCCTGCATTGGCAGGCAGACTCTCAACCACTGCGCCACCAGGGAAGCCCTATTCCTTCTTTCTTGTGCTGGGGGAGAAAGATACTAAAGCACCAGGGGTAACTTGGCAGCTCCTGGCGTGGGACAAGTACAAGAAGGGGCAGGTGCCTCCTGGGGGGAGATGGTCTGGCCTGTAGTCACCCAGCCTGGATATCCCAGGGCAGCCTGCCACCGCTGGGAGGGAGCCCCCAGCACCCTCATGTTCTAAAAGAGCTTGTCACCACACTGCAGTCCCATCCTGGCCAGTTTCTGGTTCTCCTGCTTGGGACATCCTGTCTCATCCTTCCCAACTCTTCCCAGCACACCCCAGCCCAGAACCCAGGCCTGATCTCACTACCACTGAGAGACCTGGCCCTGGAGATAGGGGCCCAACTCTCAGCCTTTTGGGCGACCCCTTCCCCTCACCCTCCCATTTTCCTGGTGACCTTGAAGCTGCTGCCCTGGGAGGGACACAGGCTGCTGCCACATTTCCTGGATTTATTTTTTTTTAAACATTCTATTTATTTATTTTGGTGGTGCAGCATGTGGGATCTTAGTTTCCAGACCAGGGATTGAATCCATGCCCCCTGCATAGGGAGCATGGATTCTTAATCACTGGACTGCCAGGGAAGGCCCCACGTTTCCTAGATTTTAAAATAAACTTTATGTTTTTCCTCTTACATTTTGAAGTTTTGGACTTGGAATAAGTCTTACAATCGAAGTGTTCATCCAAGGAGGTAATGTTTCTTTTTTTCTCTAAAAGGCTATTATTAAATTGATGGATGGTGTGTCTTACAATTGCTGGCATCTTAGAACTGAGGAAATGCAGCAATTTAACCCTGGGGTGTTTGTGGAATTAAGCTGACTGAGGTCTAAAGCTAGAGAACCTTCTATTTCCTTCCAAAAGCAATTACCTCTCTGTCCTAGATATGGTGCCACCTCCAAAGCAAAACTACTGCCCAATTCTGAGAGTGGCGAGAACCGATGAAGCGTTTATAGCTGACAGTGAAGGGAGGTCCCTACAGATACCCTCAAGAATATCTAAATTATACTTCCTAGCTCTGTCCACAAAAAAAGCCTAGAAACAAGGATTGACCCAGTAGCAACGAGCATCCCTAGTGGCTAGATTATGGTCTCTAAACGCCATTTCCCACTAGAAGGAACCTGGGCTTCTTGGAAAAATAGCTGATTCCATGCCTGGGACAATACACATAAGAGAGGAACCTGGACTACCTTGTCACATCAGAAAGCAAGGCAGCTATCAGAGACTACTATTTTACAAAAGGATTTGGGAGGTCCCAATGTCCAAAGAGGGATCAGTTTGAGCATCGATAGGATAAAAACCATAATAGATTGAAACCCTTCAAACACAGTAGGTTTAAATCCATGAGTTTATGGTAGTCAAAAGCAAACAAATGTTTTAAAGGGTGCTAGAGAAACAATTTGCTCTTTTGAAAACTGAAAAATAAAGGGAAAGAATCAAACATTTAGGTTGTCTTTCCTGTTTGAATTGGACCTCAAAGTAACCAAATAATTGAGGGAAATTTTCCCTTTATTGACAAAAAAAGAGTGATAGGATCAGTGTATCACTGTTTCACAACCCCCAATAGAGGAACAGATCTAACCACTAAGTATTGGCTGCCAACATCACAGAAAGCCTGGCAACCAGATATTCCATGAGTCCTGAAGGGAATACACAGTGACATCCACGCCCTGATGGTTATGTCTTGCCCTAATGGTCAAACCTCAATCTGATCAGACCTCTAGATCTGGTGAACAATTTACAAGAAATGCAGGGACCTGAAGAACAGGCTAGACGATACCATAGCGATGCAGCCAGTAAAATCCAGACTCAACAGGGCGAAAACCCTGGTTTCTTCAACAGATAATTTATAAGGAAAAAAAGAAGAAAGATGGAAGGGAACCTAGAGATTATGATAGGCTTAAGAGACATATCAACCTACAAAGGAACTTACTTACAAAACAGAAATAGACTCACAGTCATAGAAAACAAACATAGAAAACAAACTTATGGTTACCAAAGTGAAAAAAGGCGGGGGAGGGATAAATTATGAGTTTGGGATTAAAATATACACACTACTATATATAAAATAGACAACCAACAAGGACCCACTGTGTAGCACAGGGGACTCTACTCAATATTTTGTAATAACTTGTAATGGAAAAGAATCTTAAAAAGGAATATGAATATATAGATATATATATCTGGATCACTTTGCTGCTAAACTAACACAACATTGTAAATCAACTATATGTCAATAAAAATTTAAAAATAAATAAATAAAATTTTAAAATTAAAAAAAAAATTATTTTTTGGCCGTGCCACTCGGTTTGTGGGATCCCAGTTCCCCGACCAGGGATCAAACCCGGGCCCTCTGCAGTGGAATTGTGGAGTCCTAACCACTGGACTGCCAGGGAATTCCCCCCAATTTTTTTTAAAACGAGGCATAACAACCAATCACAATGTATGGGCCTTACCTGGATGTCAATTCAAGGAACAAACTGTTATAAAAGGGGGAAAAAGATGGTCAGGGAAATAGAAACATGCTGGATAGCTAGTAACTTAAGAAATGACTGCTAATTATTTAGCTGGAATAATGGTACTCAGATTATGTTTAAGTCCTTATTGTTTAGAGCTACATACTGAAATATGTAGAGATGAAATACTGTCAGACCTGGGATTTGCTGCAACACAATCTGTGTAGAGGGTGGGTGTGGATGCACAAGCAGGGCCAGCCGTGAGCTGATCACCTTTACAATCGGCAGCGGGGACCACAGTGTGCAGGGGTGTGACTCGCCAAGATGGCCCGTGAGCAGGCAATGACAGCAGGCTGTGAGGGCTGCGGCTAAGGGGCACCTTAGAGGAAAGCAGGTAGGAGTCTGCCACGGACCCCACACACGCTCTGGGCCAGGGACGGGGCTCAGCTGTGATGTGGCAATCCCCCTCCTGCCCTCCAGCCATGGGAATTATTGTCCCCATCCTACTGATAAGGAAACTGAGGCATAACTTAGTGGTTAAATGTATGGGTGTTGGTCTCCCATGGACCCGTGTTCAAATCATGACTCTGCCACTCAACTAGTGTGGGTGACAATTTTAACCTCTCTGTACCTCAGTTTCTTCATCTGTAGAGTGGGGGCCTCTTTGGGCTGTTTGAGGTTTAAATGAATGAATATCTGCAACCTGCAACCTGCTTAGCATGGTCCAGTGTCTAGCATTTAATAAATGCTCAAAAAATGGCAGTTCTAATTTCTGTTATTATTATTATTATCATGACTATTATTATTGGAGAGGTTAAGAAACTAGCTGGTAAGAGGCAGAGACAGGATTTGAACTCTCATCCCTCTGACTCCCCTAGACTCTTCTTGTTTGCACCTCCAGGCAGGGCCTAAGCCTGACAGCTGTCCTGATTCAGGGGGGCCGAGTGCCAGACTGCAGGCTCTGGGGCCCCACGGATCAGTGCTATATTCAGGCTTGTGTTCTCTTACAGACTTGACCCAACCTGGGCTTATGAATCTGACAAATGCAGAGGAAAGTGCAGCTGTAGACACCTGTGGAGACTTCCTCAGCCATCACCTCTGACCTCAGGGAGGGGAAAGCTTTCAGCCCCCGAGAGGTGGGGTCCCTCATGCCTAAACACTGAGCTAAAGGCTTACCAAGCAGCCACCATGTGCGAGGCCCATGCTAAGCACCGTGAAGAAAACACAAAGCACACCTGGGTCCGGAAGCAGGAGAGCCTGGCTTCCAATCCTGCCTACCTCTTCCAGTTGCGTGGCCCTTTCCTGGGCCTCAGTTTCCCTTGAGTATAAAATGGGCAGACCCCAGACCTCACAGGGTGGCTGGGAGAAGGTGGAATAGGAGATGCCGCTTGATGGTTGAGTCTGAAACCTACGATACAGATCAGGTCCCCGAACCCCTGCTGTCATGAGCCTTGCTTGCGCTTCTTGCAGACACTCACTTGTCCAGGGTCCGGGAGTCACTGGTGTACTCAGGGAGGTCATTTAAGTCTCTGGGGTAGGCAGAGATCTGGTGCAGGTTGATGGGCAGTGCCTGGCCGTCCTTGCCCACCACTTCCAGGCCTGTGAGCCCCAGGTAATGCAGGTCTCCCCAGGAGGCGGTGAAATTCAGCTGGAGGCCTGCAGCAGGAAGAAAAGTGTCCCGTGAACATCAGAGGTTCCAGAGGAGGTACCCAAGATGGAGAGAGGAAGAGGAGTGATCTTCAGCCTCTGCATTCTACCAACTGGAAAAAGCCCAAACTTCAAAGAAAGGGCCTTCAGGGTGGGCTCTGCACCTTTCCTCTCGGTGGCCCTTGGACCTGGGTCAGTTGATGCTTAGGAAATGTCTGCAGGATGAGTGCGCCGGTGTGGTTTAAACGTGCACACAGCCCTGGGTCTTTTCTCCACTTATCCATCACGTTGCCCACCCCATGCTTAACACCTTAGCGTGGCTTCCCATGCTCTTGGCCAGCAGGCTTCGTCATCTGGCTTCTGCCTACTTCTTGAACCTCACCTTGCACCCAAAATCCCTTGCTCCACTCAGACTGTCTTTCAGTCCCGCATATTCACATTCCCCTCTCCCACCACAGGGCCTTTGCACATGCTGTTCTCTCCCTCCTGAACTCACATGGCCTAGGCTAACTTGTGCTCATCCTTCAGATCCCAGCTACTTCCTCAGGGAAGCCCTCCCAACTCCTTTGACCACATCAAGCCTCCACTCACAGCCTGCCATGTTACTGTGAACTTCTCCTTACATGCTCTGGTCACCAGTGTGATCTTGTGATCATTTGGTAAATACCCATCTGCCCTGAGGGCAGAAATCCCATCTGTTTTGCTAGCTCATTGTGCCCCCAGAGCTTGGCAAAGTACCTGCCACACAGTAGGAGCTCAGTACTTGTGGAATGATTAAACAAGTAACTAAATAGAGGAGGCTGCAGCAGTGAGCCTCAGCGTCAGAAATGGACATTTTATGCAAATTGGCCACTGTCATGAGGATTCAAGGTAAAGGATTCAAGGTAAAGGAAGTGACCCCTGGTGACACTCCCATGCTTTTGCCCTTGTTCCACCCCTTCTCCATCAGGGAGCATTTAGGAGTGAACTTCTGGGCAAAACTGCCCAGGCGAGTCATTCATTTGCCCAGAAAGTGCAAAGCCGATGAATCTCTATCCAATATCTGGCTGGAGTTTTTCCTTCCTTAATGGTCTCCCGTTACAGCAGGACCAGGACCAAGCCCCATGAACTCTTCCACCCTTGGAGAACTGGGGCCCTACTTTAACACTCTTCTGGGTGGCTGTGTTCCAAAGAGTCACACTTGTTGCAACTTTCACAGAATGCCAGCACCGTAGCACTGGAAGAAGGAAGCCTGGATTCACGTAGCTCCACCCATTTCAGCTCAGGCAGGTTGCAGATGCCCTTGTGGCTGGAAGGGAGGCCAAGCCACGTGACCTCCCTGGAGAGTGGCTTCCTCTCCTACGCCCCTGTCGTTTCCATCATACATTTTGTAACTTGGTCTCAGATCCCTCTGCCCTCCGCGGTGCCAAGGTAACTCTGAGCATCTTGGGGGCACATGAAACAGATGTGTGGCCAGCGTGGTCCTGGGCACATCATAGCTTCTCACAGCACCAGAAGCCTGCAAGATGGCCACAAATTCCTCCCACCAAGTCCTTGCCTCTTTGTAATGTGATTTTGCTGCTTCTCCCAACCAGAAGTGGAGTCTATTTCTTCACTTCCTGAATCTGGGCCATGTGATTTGCTTCAATGGGACAGAAGCAAAAGCGAAGCTCGCAGAGGCTGTAAAGCACATGTATACAGGGGTTTGGCCTCTCTTTCCACATCTGGAGTCTTGCCATGTGAAGGAGCCAGGCTAGCCTCCCAATTGCAGGCCATGTGGGTGAAGACATCTTAGGTCATTCAGCTGCCAGCCCATCTGCCAGCTGACTAGACACGTGAGCAGGGCCAGCAGAGGCCAGCCTGGCTCAGATGCAAAGGAATGCCCAGCCAAGCCACTGAATTATGATAAATCACAATTAATGGTGGTTATATTAAGCTGCTAAATTTGGGGCTGGCTTGTTTCACAGCAGAAGCTAACTGATGCATTCCTTCTCATGATGAGTCTATGTTTAATTGTCATCTCCTCAGAGAGGCCCTGCCAGCCACCTGAACTCAAATAGCACCCTCTCCCATCACTCTCAAAACCCTTCCTCTGCTTTATTTTTTGTCACCTGACAAGATGTTCTACATTGATTTGCTTATTTGTTTTCATCAGTCTTTCCCACTAAGATGGAAGCTCCCTGAGGGCAGGGGCTCTGTTAGCTGTGTTCACTGTTGTTATCTCCAGAGCCTAGAATAGTGCCTGAAAACAGATGGTCAATTAAGGCTTTTTTTAAAAAAATTAATGATTGATTGAAGAGTATGTGTTTAGTAGATACGTGTAGGTAAATGAATCAAAATACAATCATTTGAGTTTCACCAAAATCACAGTAAATGGTAAACATATTGCCACTGGGGTACCAAGCCCTGTTCTTGGCACTGGAGATTTAGGGGTAAACACATAGCAAAATCCCTCTAAGAACTTGCACTGCAGTGAAGACAGACAATGAACACACATCAGAAAAATAATCTGATAGTTCCATAGAGTGATGAATACCATGAAAAAGATGAAAGAGATAAGACAGGGACTAACTAAGCAGGAATAGGGATGGTCACGGAGGGCCTTTCTGAGGAGGTGACATTTGAGCTGAGACCTGGGCGATAAGAAGGAGGCCGCCATTCTGTAACATTTCTGGAAGAACATTCTAGGCTGAGAGGGCAGGAAGGGCAAAGGCCCTGGGATGGGAACATATTTGATCTGTGGTTGGAACCAAGTGACTGACGTAGAAGATGGAGGAAAATGAGATCAGAAGGTTAGGTGGAGGCTAGATCATGTCATGAAGTCTGGATTTTCTTCTCTGCAGTGGGCAGCTAGGGAGGCTTAGATGTGGAAGCCGAGAAGTGACATGATCGGACCCGTGTCTTGGAAAGCGCACTGGGGTTGGACTCCATAGGGAGGCCAGGGAAGAGGCTGTTGTGATACCTGTGGCCGGGACAAAGGCGGTAGTGGTGAAAATGGGGGCAAAGTGGACAGATTCAGGATCTGTTTTGGAGACAGCATTGACAGGGCTCTCAATGGCCTGTATGGAATTAACAAACAGAGAAAATGTTTCTGACCCAAGGGACAGAGTAGCTGTGGGTACCATTCCTGAGATGGAGAAGGCCTGGAGGTGGAGGAGGCAGTGGATTTAGATCAGGGGGATCCCTGTGAGGGAGAAATGCCACCTCCCCCTCTAAACAAGAGGCAGCACCCCAGACTCTTCCAAGCCTGCCACCCCTTTGTTTGCCTGGCAAGATGCACTGTGATGCCATCTAATCTAGGGCTGCTCTGAAAGTGATTACTCTCCTTTTTGAGCTAATATCTGTGTTCCATATTCATTTTCCTCTGGTGTATCAATTAGTATTTATATAAATGGAAATTAATTTTGTTATTTCTCTCCCATGTTTCAACTCTCTCAGCTCCTTTCCTATTCATCACCGCTGATATTTGCAAAACTTCCAAAATTAGTGTCATCTGCAAATTAGCAAGTCATATATCCCAGTTCAAAACATTCATAGGATTGGCCGTATTTACCAACACCAACGCATCCCCCCTGGGGGATGCTCGCTTCATTTGCACAGGCTGGGAAAGTAGGGTTAGGATTTGGGATACAATGAGGAAAAAGCCAAAGGTTCAGAGAGGAGAGATTCGGAAATCACAGGCCACAAAACGGGCAGAGGGTCCTTGATCAGGAGGTTCTTCTGCCTT